AGAATAGTACAATGGCGAAAAAATTACACGAAACGAGAATCAGAAAAGGGCTCATCGGAGGCGATTTTTAGTTTTTTCTGCGGCAACATCGCTAGGCTTTACCTACGGTTTTCAGCTCATCCGCTGGTCCTTTTGCTCCGATTTGATCATGGGGGTGTTCAAAATCAAATTTCGAGCGAATAAATTTTTTTTTACCTTTTTTGGCGGTCGGATGTGGCTCCGATGCGGCGGCAGGCGACGATCGGCTCTCTTCTCTAGCGGGGGGCTGGGGGACTAGAGTTAGAATTCGGTATGAAGTGATATATTTATACTCATCTCCCTTTACTTTGGACCATTTATCGCGTTTAAAGAGAAAATGAATATGGACTGTTCATCACGATTGGATATGCACCGTACGATCGCATTTATAAAGAGAACGAATCTGAGCTGTTCATTGTGTTTAATATGCACCGTACGATCGCATTTAAAGAGGGAACGAATCTAAGCTATTCATTGTGTTAAATCGCGATCGTCTGATCGTGCCTGAGGAGAGAACAGATCCAGACCATCCACGCACGCTGGAATGCATCCAAACATTGGTCCACCAAGACCACACACGCACACCTTCACTGTATCCCGAGGTCCCTCCCCAACAGCAACCACAATACTCATATCGGCCATTAGATAGCCCTATGCACTACCGCACCACAACTTCAAGTACACACCGTTATTCCCACGGCAACGACCACTGAATGGCCCCACCGAACTCCACCAACATCAGCCAAACAGCCTCACACACACTTGACCAGGTGAGTGCCCCATCGACCACTAAGTGGCCATAAATACATGTCACTACTCATCATATCGGCACATCCATGTATGCAAGTATCACACACACACACACAGCGTGCCACTAATTTCCACACCTGTATACTAGAATCCACATACACCGACTAAGAGACCTCCCACACCTAAGTACATATACATACACATACCACATATTGCCTAACCTACCCACTATATCACGTAAACCCCACTCCACCTATAGTTTCACACGTACAGACCACGTGCCACCGTCCCTGCACAACAGAAGGTGTCTCCCTCGGTAAGTAGCCCTACACACACACAACTGAACCTACACTCGCCACCAGTCACCCGCCGCCGATACTTATACCTATACAACAATGCATCCCACTCTCATTTTTACCTCACCCCTCGGTTACACACAAACTCATCATCCACAAGCTTTGTTCTCGTCCCCACGACACCTCCAGTTCACTCCTCTCCCTTACGCAACCAACTACCCACCCCTACACCTCTCTCTTCAAATTACTCCCTCTCCCTTATCAGACCTCGACTACTTTTGCACTTCCTCGGCTAATATTGTGCCTCGACTTATATCTCCTTGATAAGGAGCATCTCCATTAATTTGCACACACAATCTCACCGAGGTTTGCCCTAAATTAGTTTAGAAGTTTCAAATTTCTCTTACATCTTGCTTCCATCCCCCTCTATCTCCCAAAGCTACCACAACCCCACCTCCTTCCCGAACTTCCGAGTAGTTCTCCTCCTGCACTCGCCTTCGATTACTGCCTATCTCGCAATCATCTCCCTCTCTCACTCGCACACTCTTTGTTTTCCCTTTTCTTTTCTTTCTTCTCCTCCCTCCCTCTCTCTGCCCGACGCCTCCTTTTATATCGATCCCAACTTCACATTCCAACCATTGATTTCTTTTATCTCATCCTAACCGTTCATCTCACCCTCCCTCACAAATCTAGGCTATTACATCACTATACTTACATTCCAATCCTACATCAAATGTATATATATATATATATATATATATAATTATTAAACTCTATATAAAAGTTTAAATTACAAATACTAATAACTTGATTTTTAAATTTTTAAATTCTTATATGTAAGTCCAAAATAATTGTATAATTAGTAATGGTTGATTGAGAACTTCACAACATAATTGCATCATATGATTGTTAGATATATAATACAGAAACATGGGACATAATTATAATTTCCTTTCATATGTACTTACGATTATTTTTTTTACTCTATATATTCATTTTATAGAAATAAAATGGATAATTTTGATAGATCTTCAATGATGAAAATTTTTATTATGAATTCTATTTATTTTTAAATTTAAATGATAGAAAGATATAGTATCCATAATATTTGAAAGAAAATATTATTAACAATCATGTGGTACTATAAATATTCATAACTGAATGCAAACCTTCACTAGGAGAATAAACATATATATATATATATATATCATATAAATTATATATATATAATTTTTCAAAAACTTTTAAACTAAAAAATAGTCATTTTTAAAAAGAATATATATAAACATAAAATTTTGGTTAGCCCGTTCTAAGGTAATATCAACTTATAACTCAAGTGTAGGATTCAAAAAGACTGGCAAAACTTACCTCACAAATCTATTCAGTATAGGCATTTAGGTCATAATTGAACTAGACAACAAAGATATATCAGAGATAAAGAAACAAAAACTAGTCAGTTTACAATCCCGCAGGGATAAAGACAAAATGTAAACAGCTGGACGAATTAAAATTTCATATATTAAGTTATGAGAGCATTATTTATACGATCTTAATGTGTTATCATCCGCATAAACTGCTGAATTACCAAGTTCTTGAGGAAAAGATCTCTAGATATCATAGAGATGAATGTCTGATGGAATGAACTTAGTGGAGGCTGGCTGCCTGCAGCTCCAACTAATAATGCATATGAAATTTTTCACGAATTTCATATGGAAAAACCCTCTAGAGACTACAAGAATAGCCCTATCGGATTAAAAGGACATAACTACTTCGTTTATGGATTTTATTATTAGTATGACAAATAGGAAAACAAAGACCCATTGGTAAAACTTTTACAGAATATCTAATAGTATTTGGATCAGCAACTCTTCCTTGGTTGGCTGCCTGCATAAAAAAGAATTTTTAGTGCAACCGTTGACAAGTAGAAGAGCATTACTAACATGGCCTTGTCAGACTGAAATCTGATAGAAATCCATGACTAAAGAAAATAGAGACAAACTAAAACTCAAACACAAGCATTTGTCGCACAAGTGCCACAACAGCCCTCATAAGGAACTGCATTTTTTTAGTTATCTTTAACCAAAGCCATGCACTGCCCTTATACTATCAAAGCTTTCCATGAGACGAGGATTTAAGTAGTTAGAACTCATAAGTCAATCCTACCACCCAATTTATTTTGATACTGAAGAGGACTTCAAGCTTCTCTTTTTCCTCTTGCTTCCAATTTTTTGTCTATAGCTTCCATAGTGACAGTAAGCGAAAGAGGCGAAAGAGGCCTTAAGGAGACAACAAAAATATCCAGAAGAGTTTGAACTAATATCATCTGGGCTTAATTATTATTATTCTTCTGTTTTTTAAAGTTATTATATGTGTGTATATATATATATATTATAATTATACTAATGTTCATCTGGGCTCGTACTGATATGGGCTGACTGTGTAATTATAACATGCATCTAATAAGCCCAATTAACATAAATTTACAATTTATTTTATAATTTTTGAAAAATATTAATTACACCATTTGTAGAATTCTTATTTTTCTTAAGAAAAATATACTATGCTGTATATAAATTCAGATCAATTAAAATTTTATTTCTTTAGTTTACACTTATTATAGTTCAAATCCTGTGGTTTTTTAATAATTTAGTTGCTTATTTTTTTTAGTTTTAATATATAATAAAAAAAATTAGAACATAAATGATTTATATAACATACATGCATGATAATTAGATTGAAAGATTTCTTGATAGTAAATTCCAAAGATTACGAAAACGGGAAGCTATTGTTATAATTGATCTTAGATTGCTTAACTATGATCTTATATCAAGGATGTGTTTAGAATAAAATTAGAAGCAAATCTAATAACTTACAAATATTACCTATACAAATTTATACTTAAAAATTTCATAAGGTTTAGATTTATTCACAAATTTGCACATAATTTAACTAAAATGTACATATAAAATTTCCATGTATATAAAATTTGTAGTATGGGTACGTTTTAGAATAAACTAAGAACCAAAAATCTATATGACTTTGATAATCTGCTTATAAACTTTTACTAATAAATTTTATAAAATTTAGATTACAAATTTACATATAATTTTGCTAATATATATTAATATGATTTGAATTTAGAATGCACGTAAAAAGTGTATTCATTTGCCTTCAAAAATTGGCGAATAGCGTTTTGATATTTATTAGAAAAACAAGTGTTTAAAACATTTAATTAATTATAACGAATATTATAATAAGCTTATTTTTACAGGGTTTTCTCTTTAATATTCAAATAATAATAATATTCTGTAAACCCAATAATCTTACTTTTTAAAATTTATTTATTATAGAATAAACATATTTTAAAAGGATTAGGTTTATTGCATTATATTTTATAGAGTTTATTCAAGTTTGACTTTTAGATAAGAGTTTAAATTTGTTCAACTTTGACTTTTTTATTTATTATTATTATTATTTGAATCAGTCTCCAACTCTATATTTGTACTTATCAAAGAGATAAAGTTTAAGTTTAAAAATATTGAAATATCAAATTTTGTATTTGGTAGGTTATATTGGAATTACATTATCAATTTTGGTCATTTATATTATTATATTTTATTATTATTTTAAAATATTCATTTATTAATATGCCGAAAATTGACGTTAACAAATAATAATTATCAACTTATAATTATAATAACGTTAGATAGTCAGCCATATATTATAAGACACGTTTCTAGTTTTAATTTATTCAATTGTAAAATTGCATGTATTTGTACTTAGAAGTTCACAATTATATAAATTATTATAAAAATTAAAAATTATTTAATTAGTTTATATATATATATTAATTACGATATAATATTGTAGCGAGAATACAACAAAAGTATATATATATATATATATATATATATATAAAAGCAGAAAATTAACTAACTAAAGAGAAGAACGCTTTTTGAAACCTGTTCGATCAGCGTAAGCTGCTGCATGTATATCTTCATGGAAGTATTTTTTAAAAGCTTCCATATGAGTCACCTGCAACCTCACTCTAACAACTATGGATTCATCATTCTCAGGACCTGGAAGAATAACACAGTCGCCATCAAAATCCCGATCTCCAGGCTCCGCAAACTCCACCTTCCCCCACACAAAATCAAAATCATGAGATGGAAATGTCAACCAACTCAACACCCCAACAATGTCGCTGCGCTTCAGAGCCTTAAGACTGTCTTGAAACATCGTCAGATCCGGTTGGTTTTTCAAATATCCTATGGCATACCTCACATACTCATTCGTCACCTTTTTTACCGTCTCCCTGATTTTACTCGTCGCGAAGGTTAATGGGTTTGAGATTATCTCGCCGACGGTGCTCTTTACGACGAAGTCGAAAGCCGCGTTGCCGAAGTAGGATTGTGGCAGCGCCGGCTGCCGTAGACGGTTGCGGATGTCAATACAGACGGCTAACCCTGTTGGGTCATCTGGTTTTTGGAAACGAGCTTTGCACGCGCAACGCCAGATGTGGGCTGCGATGCTCTCGTATCGGCTGAAGTTGAGATTAGAGTCAGAATTAGCCATGATTTTGAGATTGGCTACTTTGTTTTTTGTCAGAATCATGGTTGCTTCGGTTGTTTTATCAATGGAGGAATGGGTACTATCCGGGTCGAAAAGCAATATAGGTGGGTCAGAGGAGAAATTTTTATCAGGGTCTTGCCATGGATCTGAATCATACGGATTGATAATTCGAAGAATTTCTGCATCATTAAACCGCGGCATAACACGGACCGGCTCCCCGCGAGTAACTCTGGCCCATTCGGAGATAAAATGGAAGACACTCCGGCCGTCGGCGACGGTGTGAGAAATCCCGACTGCAACGCTGATGGCACCGCAGTTGAATTTAGTGTGCTGCACGAGTAATATCGGGATTTCTGGAAGAGGGACACGACGGTAATCTATGCGGGGAAGAAGGTGGGGAGCGAGTGATCGGGATAGAGATGAAAAGTCAGGAACTGAGAAGTCGAGTCTGAGTTTAGACTCGGCATCGACGAGCAAGGCGCCATCGGAGTTGCAGTCGAGCTCCATTCGACCTCTGCCGAGCAAGCATAAGCGGCCGGCTAATGGGTAAAACGGGACAAGGATTTGACTTAGCGAACCTCTGAGGATGTTGATGATGGAGTCTGGGGAGGAAAGCTTGTAGAAGTAAATAATGGGGACATGAGAGATGATGCCGACTTGATCCAATTCTGTCAATGGGATTCGTCCCCTCCATGTTTGAGTTGCTGGTTTCACCGTGTAGTGATTCTTGATGGAGACTGTCATGTCCATTTTTTGTTTTTTGTTTTTTTGTTTTTGTATATCTATATGATAAGTATATGTATATGTTTGTGTGTATATATAAAATGGATAAAGATAACTGAGAGAGGGAACATACAGGGAGAGAGATCAGTAGGCAAATGGGAAGCTATTGGGTGTTCATTGAATATGAGCCAAAATTATTGTAATTTATAGAGGTCAAGAGGGAATTTTCCTTCATTACTTGATATTTAATTAAATTAATACCACTTGTACATTTAATAATGTAATAATTAAGGTATATGTTTATCTTTTTTTTAACTCAAATATTTAAAAAAAAGTACATTTTTATTAAAATCAAAATAAATCAAATTAATTTTAGTAAATTGAGAAAATTGTTAAAAGACATGTTAGAATGAGCTGTGTGCAGCCATGTTCTTGTCAGGCTGCTTCCATATGGGAACCAAAACGCACTGTTTCGTTAAACGGTGCGTTTTGACTGCTGCTACGCCAGAAAATGAGGTATAAATATCTATTCTTCTCTACCAGAAAATCCTTAATCGGGTTTTCTTCTTCTCTAGACTTTTTTCTCTCATGCAGACACTATAAGCTCTAGTTTTCTACATTTCCTTTTATCTTTGTTTTGCATATATTCAACTTGAACATCAATGCACAACAGCAAATATCTTCTTCAATGGAGTAAAGGTATTGTTTATTGATTTTCTCATTTTTTTATCAAAGTAATGTATTATTGTTAGAGAACCTAAGATCTGATGTGTATCGAGGAAGAAGAAGTTCACTTTATAACCTAAGGTCTCTTTCGGTTTATCTAAACCTGATAAACAAACACATACAGAACGGGTTGGTCTGAATCCAAAAAAAAAGAGGTTTATTATCTAAACTTGTAAAAGAAACAAAAAAGGAAAAATCGAGAGGTTAGTTCGAGTGCCTATTTAAAGAAATTATTGGGTTTATTATAGTTTCAAATCTGTGAAAAGGAGGGAAGTACATATAAAACAAATGACAGAAATAAAAAGCTTACATTCACACATGAGAAGCATAAACAAAAGGCCCATAGTTTTAACCAGAACAATCTCAAATGCAAACCAAAATCTCATTGTTTTGACTGGAAAGATTTTAGATTCATCAAATCTAGCCTCAAACATTAAGGCCAACACATTTTATGCAAAAACTGCATGTAATCTTTGGGCTGACCTCGAACAGAGGTATACCGAACAAAATGCCTTCAATCAAGTATCTTCTAGTGATGAGAATATGCATGTTCCTTGGATAACTGTCAGTGGTGCATCTAATCATATTATTCACACATCAGAATTATATACTAAAATTACATCAAATATCTTTTACAATGTTACTTTGCCAAACGGTGTAAAAGTCAATGTGTTGCACACTGGAATAACTAAGTTGAGTGAGGACAGTTCTCAACAATGTGTTGTGTGTGCCATCGTTTAATTTCAATTTAATTTCTACTAGAAGACTAACACAAGATTGTAAGTATTGTTTATCTTTTCACAAACACAATGTGTTATTCAAGACCTTATAACCTGGAAAATGATTGGAATGGGAGGAATTAAGGATGGATTGTATCAACTTAATTCCACCAAACCATTGAGAAAAACAACCAGACCAGCCTTCACAGGTGCAACCTTTTTGGGTCCTAAAGAAATGCAAGAAATTGATGTATCACACTACAAACTTGGACAACTTTTACAATCCAAGTCAATTATAAAATCAAATGTATCCAAAATAAATAATTGTAAGTTGTGTTATGTTTGTCCACTAGCTAAGATGCATAAATTCGTTTTTGATGATAGCAGCAGTAGAGCTTTAAAATGATTTAATCTAATTCACTGTAATATTTGTGGGCCCTGTAATGAGATATTTTATAATATTTATAAGTATTTTTTATCAATTTTTGATGATCATAGTAGATGTACTTGGGTATATTTGATGAAAAGCAAGGCTGAGACCAGCATGCACTTACAACATTTTTGTGCATTTGTTGATTCAATTTGATAGGAAGGTGAAAGTGATCAAGAGTGGCAATGGTAAAGAATTCGAGATGAAGAAATATTATGCTGAGAAAGGAATTTTACATCAAACCTTTTGTGTTGAGACACTGCAATAAAATAGAAGAATTGAAAAGAAGCATCAACATATTCTCAATACTTCCAGAACATTAAGATTCTAAAGCAGTCTTGACATAAAGTATTTGAGTGATTTTATATCAACTATCGTTTATCTTATTAATAGGATTCCTACACCAGCTGTGAACAAAAAAACTCCTTTTGAAATATTATTTGAGAAACCACCAGGATATAACCATTTAAGAATTTTTTTATTGTTTGGCTTTTGCATCAACTTTAATTGGAAACAGACATAAGTTTGATGCAAGGGCTAGGAAATGTGTATTTTTGTGATACTCTTTTAATACTAAGGGATACAAGCTATAAGATATTGAAATAGGTGATATTATCATATCTAAGAATGTTATCTTTCATGAGAATGTGTTTCTTTATAAGAATAGAAGTTGGATGAGGACATCAGAAACCTCCACAAAATTAACGCATGGTTCTATACCCACAACAAGAATGAACATTGCATTAGACTTTGAAGAGGTTAACCTAGAGGGACAAATGGAGAATTTAGAAAGAGTTGTGGGAATACCTAATCAAATACTGGAAGAAACAACAACTAGAGAAATAGAAAGTCATGGGTAGGACATTGATCAAGAACTAGTCTCTGACGAAGTTGCCACTAATGAGACACCCACTCGAAAAAATCCACAAGAACAAGGAAAGGCACCAACGTACTTAAAATATTATATGTGTGAGCAAATCAAGGAACATGAAAATAATGTTGAAGAGACAAATGGAGAAGACTCTTAATCAAATGGAGTTATTCCCATAGCAAATATTGTTTGGTACTTTAGGATTATAGGAGGACATAAGAGATATATTCTGGTTGTAGCATCCCAAGAAGATCCTAACTCGTTTGAAGAAGCAAACAAGAGTGACGATTGGCGGAAGGCAATGCAATTTAAGCTAAAAGATAATAGAACTTTGAGGATTATGGACCTCCCTGCGGAAAAAAAAAAAAAAAAGGCTATTGGATGCAAATGGGTTCACAAAGTGAAATTCAAGGAAGATGGTACCATTGAGAGACATAAAGCCAGACTTGCCGCTAAGGGTTTCACCCAAATAAAAGGTTTAGATTACCATAAGACTTTCTCACCAGTTGCCAAAATAGTTTCAGTAAAAATATTATTAGCTTTAGCGGGAATTAAGGGATGGCATCTTCAACAACTGGATGTCAACAATGCCTTATGGCATGGAGACTTAAATGAGGAGGTATACATGGAACTTCCTCCCGGGCATTCTAAAACAAGAGAAGAGAAAGCTTGTAGACTGTAGAAAAGCTTATATGGACTTAAACAAGTGTCTATAAAATGGTACGCTAAATTTTCTGAGATTATTACTCAACAAGATTTCAAACAATCCAAGGCCGACTACAATTTATTCATAAAAGCTAATGGTAAAAGTTTTACATATCTACTTGTATATATTGATGACATCATTGTGACAAGTAATGATGAAGATATGATTAAAGAACTAAAGATAATAATGGATAATAAATTTAAAATTAAGAACTTAGAAAATTTAAAATATTTTCTTGGAATTGAAGTTGTTAGGTCAAATAGAGGAGTTCACGTATGTCAGAGGAAGTATGCCTTAGACCTTTTAAAGGATGCAGGAGTTCTAGGGAGCAAAAGTTCATCACTTCCCTTAGACCAAAATATTAAACTTTCAAGGGATGAAACAGAGCCAATCCCATATCCAAGAATGCATAGAAGGTTGATGGTAGATTAATGTACCTTATATTGACTAGGTTAGACCTTGCGTACTCTATTCAAATGCTCAGCCAATTTATGGAAAGTCCTAGAGACTGCCATCTAAAGGCTGCATATAAGATTCTGAAGTATGTCAAAGGCATTCCAAGCCAGGGTCCATTTCACTCAAGCACATTTAAATTGAAACTAAAGGCTTACATTGACAGTGACTAGGCGGGATATCCAGACACAAGAAAATCTGCTACAAGATGCTGTGTTTTGTTGGGGAACTTGCTAGTATCTTGAAAGTCTAAGAAACAACAAACAATTACTAGATCTTCTGCAGATGCAGAGTATAGAACTATAGTTAGTATATGTTGTGAGTTAACGTGGATCAAGTATATACTCAATGACCTTAAGGTAAGTACCTTAGGAGCAATAGATTTGTATTATGATAATCAAGTTGTCATACATATAGCTACTAACCTTATATTCCATGAGAGAACTAAACATATTGAAATATATTGCCACCTTGTTAAAGATAAGGTACAGGAATAGAGTATTATAACGAGACATGTGAACAGTAAACGACAGCTAACAGACATTTTTACAAATGCTTTGTCTAGCTGGCTTTTCAAAGAACATATGATCAAGATAGGAGCAGAAAACATCTATTCTCCATCTTGAGGGGGATGTTAAAAGGCTTGTTAGAATGAGCTGCGTGCAGCCCATGTTCTGTCAGGCTACTTCCATATGGGAACCAAAACGCAATGTTTCATTAAACAGTGTGTCTTGGCTACTGCTACACCAGAAAATGAGGTATAGATACCTCTTCTTCTCCACCAGAAAACCCTTAATTGGGTTTTCTTCTTCTCCAGACTTCTTTCTCTCACGTAAACGCCAGAAGCTCTAGTTTTCTGCGTGTTTTTTATCTTTGTTTTGTAAATATTCAACTTGGACATCAAGGCACAACAACGAATATCTTCTTCAATGGAGTAAAGGTATTATACATTGATTTTCTTAAATTTTACCTAAATAATGTATTATTGTTAGAGAATCTAGGATCTGTTGTGTATTGAGAAAAAAGAAGTTCACTTTGTAATCTAATCCAATAATTGAAAAAAAATCTCCCAATATTAGTTTTTGTAATACTTTTTGTAGTTAAGAATCTTAGAAATTAATTATAGTCGCCAAATTTGAGTTATACTAAAAGACTTCTTATCCTTTGGAAATCCAACTAATCCAAAATAAGCAATCAAATCTCATCTGTAGAATCCCTTTTCCTTATACAATTCAAATTCAAATAAATATTATATTTCATTATACTTATATTCCAATTCTACATTAATATTTACATATATAATTCCTAAGCTATATATAAAAAGTTCAAATCACAAATACCAATAATTTAAGTTCAAAGTTTTAAAGTCTTGGATCTAAATCCTAAAATTTTGTCCAATATAGAACTCCACATTTTAGTGGTATTATATGATTTGTTAGATGTGTAATACAAAGAATTTGAGGCATAATTATAATTTTTTATTACATACGTATTTATGGTTATTTTGTAACTCTAGATGTTCATTTTTTCTCATCATATACCATCGTAGATATAAAATAGATAATTTTGAAAAATGTTTAATGAAATTAAATGACAAAAATTATTATTATTAAGAATCTAGAGAATTTAAAAATTAACTATTTATTTATTTTTAAAGTTAAATAATATAAAGATATATAGTATCCAAAATATTTTTAAAAAATATAAATAATATTGTGGTAATATAAATATCGGTAATTGAATGCAAACCTTCATTAGGAGAATAATATGTATCTTGTACATTTTGAAAATCAAATTAAAACTTTTTAATTAAAAAAAAACAGTCATTTTCAAAAGGAATATATATATATATATATATATATAAACATAAAATTTTGAGAATTTTAAATTAACACCTCCTTAGCCGGTTCTAATCTAATATCAACTTATAACTCAAGTCTAGGATCCAAAAAATGCAGCGAAGCTTATCTCATAGATCTCCTACTTCCTATATAAGTTACATATTTTTAGTCAAACCATAAAAACTTAGTTTTAATGCACAAAAGTTGACCCAAAAAATATTTTGAACGCTAAGAGAATTTAATTATAATATCCATAAAATCAAACCCAAAATTACAAGTAAATTTCACCTAATTAAATATAATTCTCTCCTTGAAAATTAAAAAAAAAAAAAAAACACACACACACACACACAAAAATTCCAAATGTAGATAAAGTTTTTCTTTTCACTAGTTGAAAGAAAGTTTGCTTGTTAAAAAATAAAAAATAAAAAATAAAAAATAAAAAATAAAAAAAACCTCAGCAAAAGAATTTCTCCTGCATTTCCAATTAGACAAATTCTTTAACTTCTTTATTGGCAGCGGAATAATTATTAGAAAAATTAACTAAGGAAGATACACAACTCTTGATTACAATGAAAGAAAAACATTTCATTCCAACAGCTATAAAGCTTTAAATATTATTGACTATTTTACTGACCATCAATTTTAAATTCATAAGCCTCCCGGATCCTTAATTTTCAAACAAGTGTCCTCCAAATTCATGATATTTATATTACACAAATAAAATACCCAACATTTACTATTAGAGAACCTGACAATTTAACAAAATACGTTTGTAATTAACCAGTTTACAAGTGGTTCACATGGCCACCAAGTAAATGTCTACATGGAAAAAAATTCTGCTGTAGCGACAATAACCCAGGAGGAGATAATAAACTTACAGTGAACATCTGCTCTTTATCTGGGATCTGATGATCTTATTCCATAGCGCTTGAAGAATTCTCTGAATCCATAGGCACTTAGGTCATAATTGAACTGGCAAACAGAGATACATGGGAGATAGAGAAAGAAAAAACTAGTCAGTTTACAATCCCACAGGGGGTAAAAATAAAAGGTGTATGTATATCAGTCGTGTTTTTGCTTCTTTTTTACGGGTTAAAATATCAAGATTTCATAGATTAGTTATGAGAGCATACTTATATGATCCTAATGCATTATCATCCACATAATCTTCTGAATCATCAAGTTCAGGAAAAGATAGAGAGATATCATATAAATGAATGGTGGAATTAATTTAGTGGAGGCTGGCTGCCTATAGCTGCAGCTAATGCATTTGAAAGCTTTTTAGTATTTCATACAAAAACACCCTATAGAGAGTACAGGAATAGCCCTCTTGGGTTAGAAGAACACTATTACTTAGTTTATGAATTTTACTATTAGAATGACAAATAGGAAAATAAAGACTCACTGGTAAAACTTTTACAGAATATCTTGTAATATTTGGATCAGCAACCCTTCCTTGGCTGGCTGCCTGCAAAAGAAAGAATTTTTAGTGCTACCCTTGACAAATAGAAGAGCTTTACTAACATGGCATTGTCTATGGCTATAGAAAATAGAGACAAACTAAAATCCCGGAACCAACATGTGTCACACAGGCGCCACAACCGCCCTCGTAAGAAACTGCATTTTTTAGTTATCCCCAAACAAAACTACATCTTTAACCAAAGCCATGCAGTGCCCTTATACTATCAAAGCTTTCCATGAGACGAGGATTTAAGTAGTTAGAACTCATAAGTCAATCCTACCACCCAATTTATTTTGATACTGAAGAGGACTTCAAACATCCCTTTTTCCTCTGTTTGTTTCCTCAAGCAAGAATTTGGAATTTATAATTTTTTGGTCTATAGCTTCCATAGTTACAGGAAAAGCATCCTGTGAACTCCAACTGATAATCCAACTAACTAAGTTTATCAACATCAAGTTATTGCTTAGCAGCAGAGTTTCCTGGTTCAGTCATGGAAAATCTTGGAGGCAAACTTCAGCTACATAAAAGAGTGAAATCCCTGTTTGACTATGGTCACATAACTTTCAACAAGTAACTGGGAATGTCAATTTTACCCATACCCGAGTGGGATTAGTGGAAAATCCCCAATAATATCAAGATCAATGCCCTATTTGAGACTGAAGTAGATGGGGACAAACAAGTCTCATGCAAATCAAGGACGGGAACAGAGAAAGGGGTTCCCTTTCCCACTTACCCACTTCACATGTATAATAATATATTTTATGCTTTATGTATAATATTTATATTGTGTTAGTAACAACAATAAATAAATTACCTTTCTTATCAATAGTTGAGATTTTCTTTTTCCAATTTGTATTGAATATGTTGAATTTATGATTTTTTGGAATGATCTTTTGGAATTTATGATTATATGAAAAATTTGTGTAGTTATAACTTGATTTGATTAACATTAGAAAAAATTTTTAAAAAAATCTGCAGACAAACTGCAGGAATGCACAGCAGGAAAAAATCCTCGCCAGGTATCAAGAACAAGGGAGCTTGCAGAGGTGGGGATCTGAAAGTTATTCCCTGCCTCAAATCCAACCTGCTATCCTTCCCATACGTGACATTATAAACTTCCTAATAAACCACAAACAGATGATCTAGTTCAAATAGGAGATGATAGAAGCTAAGAGATAGTAACTGATATTAAGCAAAATATATTACAGAAAAGAAAAAAAAACAAGAATGAAGGAATACTTGTTCCGGACTATGAAAAATTTCAATGAAAGGGTATTCCTTCTTCTGCCGCGTTATACAGAACCCAGGATATTTTGGGCACTCAACCTGAAAACAAGGACCAAGCAAGAGGCAAAATACTTTTATTAATTAGGGTGAGAATAAGCAACAGAGGCCTTAAGGAGATAACAAAACTATCCAGAAGAGTTTGAACTAATATCATAAGTTGCTTTCAGATTTCAGGGGTAGACTACATTATGCAAAATCAATAGGTGGCATTTAGCGACTTCTATTCTGTTCACTTTGTTATTTCGAAATAAACAAATATATTTGGTTAGTATTTGTGCAGATTGTTTTCACTTTTCAAAATCATTAAACATTAAAAAAAAAGAGTATAACTATTTAAAGGAAAAATGCTGCAATTGCTGGTTACTTGCTTCTCTGATGCCCTCAGTTCAGGACAGGGGTCTGTTTTAGACAAGGTAAGAGCTCAAAAGCTAGAGCTCTTATCTCTCTCACAATCTTTTGATCTGCAAGGTAGGCTAGGGAACATGCGGGTTTCTGTGAGGTGGAAAACTCTTTTCATATAGTTAGAAAATTTTGGTTGTATACCCTTTATTCTTGGTTTTTAGTGCACATCTCAACAAGGAAGCAGAACTTGGTGGACCTTGTAGATTTCTTTCCTTTGAGTTGCTTTTGTATGTGGCACACATTCCTTTGGTACGTGAGTGCATCTTCATATCACAAGGATGCAAAGCAGGAAGCTTAATACTTTGTACTGTAGCTTCATGCTTTTTGGTTTTGGATGAAAAATTGAATTTTCTTTTTCTGTTTCTGCAATTGGGCCTTCTTTTTAAGAAGCTTATATGAAAGAAAACAATATGAACATGCTTTTTCCGGTGAAATTCCCAAAAACAAATTCATTAAAGAACAAAAACCATGAAGAAAGAAACAACTGACAAATATCTACAGGTGATTTACAACAATAAATTTTGGCAAAATATATCAAGTCAAACCTCCATTTACCAGAAATTACTCACACGCATAAATTTTATACTCGGATAGAACTCTGCAGCAGCTTCCTCAAGTACCTTATCAAGATGTTTTGTATAGTTACTCCTACATTATTAAAATAAATGGTGGTCAGATCTGTGGAGTTCAGTTCATAATTGAAGAAATAAAAGTTAGAGGGAGGACAAAGGCATCCACTTCCAAGTTACCTGATGGTGAATGCAACAACTACAGGCCGACCTTCATGAAGGAGCTGGACAAATTCACGCTCTGATGTAAAGTGAATAATCCGCGATGGCCCAAGATCTTTTGGATAACCAGTATAGTACCTTGGTTTAATAAGTAATACGTGCAAGAAATGAGGTTAAACTGTCTTTTGAAGGCAAGCAAACAAGTATTCCATCAGAAAAAAGGAATGATTTCAAAGGAGATTCCACGCTACTCAAACAGCTGATTTCCACTGTGACACTAACTCTTTCTGTCCCTAATTTAGGTTCACACATCATACTCTGTATGATCGCTGAGTACAGTTATTTCTCAAATTTTGTGTCTAGCAAAATTATTTAACAGATCAATCAATGGGTATCTTTATCACTCCACACCGTATAGAGTACAAAATAATTCACAAAAAACAATGGTAAGTTCACAGTGACCCCAGCAAACAACTGGCAGACAGGTTTCAAGCTTATAAATACAAAAGGAATTAATCTAAAAGCAACAGATACTTGCTAGCACAAAATATTTCCTAGACAGGAAGTAAAATGGAAATAACCTACACTGCAACGTACATTCACCAATTACAGTACATTTATGGTGAAGAAAAACATCAAAAGAAAACAAGCTCAGTAGTTAAAATGAAACTCTATGGAACGGGTGGAATTTTAAAAAATAAACTCCTACTTGCATGATGCCCGAAGATGGCTGAGCATTCTATCAAGAAATGATGACTCTTCCATGTGCTACAGAAATTGTCCAAACCTTGTAGCTATCTGCAACCCGTGTTCATAGGAAAAATTATCAGAAGCAATAATTGGTTGCTACAAATTGAAAACGGTGAACAAAACATTCCAAAACCTACTTTAGCTCTTCATGCCCAAGACCTAGGATGCAAACAATAATTCCTTTGCATTAGGATAATACAGATCATGTTCATAATGCAAAATGCAGCCACAAAAACTCGGCTGCCGATAAACCTCAAATATTAAGGAAAGAAGCTACACTAAAATAGGCCTTTCTTTGGAGCATTTTATCAAACACCTCACCCTAGAACACACTGATATTCTCTCCAAGATTGCAACATATGATCAAAGCAGCAACATATGATCAAAGCAGAAACATGCTACCAATTGAAGACTCGGTTAGAATCTGCTACAGCAACCACTAATTAATTGAATCAAAGGTGCGTTGTTATTCGCAGGCTTACTTGTATCTAGCTTCCCTTCTATGTGCGAAAAGGTTGTGTCGAGTCGGGTGGGAAAGTGAATGAAAGGGAGAGTGTTGGGAGTTAGTTTTACGCTACGGAGGCTTTCTTTGTTTTCAGAGTTTATAATCTCCACCTGCCCATAGGCTATGAGGATAAATTTATTTTGTAACTGAAATTTTTCAATTTATAAATCCTACGTAAATAATTAATCAAATAGTACATAAAATAGTGTTTATATTACATAAAGAAATGGTTTCATTAGTCGAAAATTTTATAAAACAACTAAAAAAGATATACAGATAATTATCCAGTAATATTTATAAACTGTTTTAACAAAAAAGAAGTTTGTGCCGATACTTGTTTTGGAAACTTTTATTACCAGTTTGAGTTTTTAAGAGTAGTAATTTTTAATTTTTAATTCAGTAAAATTAACTTTATTTTTATATGTGAAATCCAATTATATAGGCAAGGGGATTTAGACTTAGATGGTAATAAGAAATCAAATTACTAGCAAAAATTAGCAAAACTTCATAAAAAACAAGGGAGTTTCCCCCCCCTTATACCAGTTATCTTTACATCTATTCCACATGCATATTTTAGACAATACATCTCTACATCTCTATCTTATTACCATATATCAGAAAGAATAATACAACCATAAAAACCTTAATGTAGATATCAAACTATCGCCAGTGCGCCAAAGCTACCACTGGAACCCTAACTTTGTGTCCGCGGCTACCTTTCATTAACACTTGCCCAAACTTGTAGGTTCCAGCAACTGATCTAACAGTGAGAGTCACAGAGAATTTTCGTGATGCACCCGGTCTAAGAGTCATTGCCGGAGGATTCACTTCAATGGCAATGGATGGGTCCATTCTAGCTGTCATCACATATGTTTCTTCCTCGGCAATATTAGTTACTGTACGAGTGACTGATTGAGTTCCCACTAGGTGGGAGATTGTGATTGATGGGGTATTGAAATTTGAAGGATGGCCCATGGTGTAGTTGCAAGGTGAGTTTGTGTAGTTCCGAATTTCATGGACATCGATCCCGGGTGTTGTGCACAAAAATCCCAGGTAATCCTCATAGCCTATAATAACAAGAATTGGCAGGGAAGTTAAAAGGAGCAAATTGAGATTTTCATTGAACCAGAAACTTCGGTTTCATGCAATATATCAGTAGGAACCATGGATAGAAAAAGAATCATAATTGTTTAGTAAACAAACAGTTAACAATTTAACTAACATTTTACCATTTCTTTTAGGGTTCAAGTAAGAAATTAATAATTTAAGAATACAACTGCCTTAAATTCAATTTATTTTCCAAACATTTTGACTGTGGTTCTGATTCCTTCTAAAAGATCTGTAATTAAATGCTGATCTGCTGTACTTATCATGTTTGTTTTGGAAATGTATTCAGATAATATAGACAAAAACATTTTATCCTTAGGTCATTGGGGATCTGTCCAAAGAATTCCTCAGACTGCATGCTTGATTTCTCAGGTTTTGAGCAAATCTGTTAGCAAGACTAGGTCCAAACTATATCCAGTTTCCGATAAACAAATCAAAGAGAATATAATTATAATGGAGAAGCAGATATACCTGCATCAAAAATGAGTCCCGGATCCAATGCAGCCCTTGGATTGACATGACCACTTCCATAATCAAAAGGTGTAGCTGTAACCAGCTTCATTGCCTCTGTTTCAGAATATTGCTGTGCTTGAAGGGGCCTTCCTGCCCTGTCCAGCGTTGTTGATGTCGTCATCAAAGCTGATTTTATAGCAGCAGGACTCCAACGAGGGTGCTTCTGCTTCACTAGAGCAGCTATTCCTGCTATATGTGGTGCAGCCATGCTAGTTCCAGATATCATGGCAAATCCTTCCCCTGCTCAAAACAAATAATCATTTAAGATGTAAATGGTCTGTGTTTCCAAGCAAATCACTATTTTCCTTCTTTTCTCTGCAAAATTATATGCTATTTACGTCCTAAGCTTCGTGTCTAAGTAGACAAGAAATGTAACTAGATAACTGGACACATTTTTACCAATATAATTAGGCTCATCTGTTCCATTTGGAGACCAAGCTGCCCAAATTAAGGCACCAGGAGCCAGTATGTCAGGTTTAAGAAGATCTGCATCTTGAAAGCTGAAATCTTTAGTGTTGGGCCCTCGAGCAGAGAATATCGCCACCTGTGGTGCTGATTTATGCAGTATGGGCATCAAACCATCTCCAATGCTACCTATAGCTTTGAAGCTCTTCACCCGTCCAGTCCAATCCCTTGACGTAGAGATGTTATAATATTCTATTAAATCCTAAATAAGAAGGCAACAAACAAGATCAGAAACTATCAAAATTGAGTGCAAGAAATGGTAGAAATAGAGAAAGACTATATTGGGAATGAATAAGGAAAATATAAAATAATAATGACAATGGCTCCTTAAAGAATCACAAAAAACAGATTATCCGCACAAGCTCAGTTAAGCACTAAAATATCTTATTGCAAAAGAAAAATTAAGGGAATATTAATACTGTTTTCTGTGCTAGTCTCCTCTTTTGCCTTATTTCCCTCCTTTCCTTTTCTTACACTTCATTATTTCACAATGTAAAGTTTGAGGAATGAGGAAGTCACATTGTCTTTTCGTCCTCATTACTCTTTCCCTCCTTCCTTTCTTTACTGGATTACTTCTCTTTCTCACATGTGACAAGCTTAGAATAGTATTCAATCTGATCTCCTCGCAAGAGTAAAGCAATAGTCAGAATACATAGCAACGATATTGTCGCATGGTAAGATTTGACGAGCATATTTGGCCACAAATTTCAGACTATATACTTCAGAGCCATGATAGATGGCAATCAACTTGTAAAAGAATCAAGAGGATAAAAGGGAACATGACTTCAAGGAGCTTTCCCAAAAATACTAGTCAAAATTGCTTTTTCTGCTTATTTTACCGAACTTGTAAACCGAAGATTTCCCATTTGCATTATCTATCAGATGCAAGTCATGATGTGGTAGCGATATACCTGTGATTTAGTGACATCAGTGATAAGGATTCCAGGAATACCAACAGGAACAGGATCAAATTTTGTTCCTGGAGAAACATTTTCCACAGCAAGAACAAAGCCAACTGCACCAACACTCTTGGCTGTCTCCCAGACTTTCTTGATTGATGCAGTACCAACAACAAAATTGAAAGAATAGCCACAAAGAAGAATCTTTCCCTCAACCAACTTCTTATCAAATACTTCTGGTCTCTGGCAGTCTGAGGGACTATACTTCATTACTGAAGAATCCAGAAGCACATCATTTGCAGCAACCATAGTGAATGTTTCATTCAGGTGAGTAGAAGCTGGAGAAGAACATAAGATTATTTTCAGTTTCAGAATATGATTAAAGAAACTAAATGATTAACTGCAGGCATTGAAGCACTAGGCAATATAAACAAGATCCTTGAGATTTTATAAATTATTCGTAGAAACAAGCTTGAGCATCACAATGAACCCAAATGACCAGAAAAAAGCATATGCATGGGAATTGGTAAATAACTACTTGATCTGTAAGGCATAATGAGGACGAAAAGACAACGTAATCGCTTATAAGAAAGTTTGAAGAGCAATTTCATCAGCAAGAGGTGATACTTGCAATATTTTAGCTTGGAACGCATTTTATTTGGCAGTTTTCTGAATGTTAAATACTATTGGATGGGTTACCTTTTTTTTTTTTGAAATAATATATGGGTTACTTTATTGGATCATGTTATCTTTTTCCCTTCCCCATGTATGCTCCACAGTTTTTGTTGTTTTGATCTTATACAATTTTCAACAGATTACCAAGATTTATCTTCTCAATCGAATTTCAAAATCTAGTTCTTGTTTGATGCGATTCTACGCTCTACACGATGCTTTGTCTCTCTTCCCAGAAGCCAAAACATTGGAAGAAAATTACTATTGTTGCTAACACTTACGCGACAATCCAATCCCAGGTAATAATTTTCCATTCCCAAGTGTCAGATGGTTCTTGTATCTACGGTCATCGACTGCTGCTGCTACAGTTGCTATCCATGGGCTGTAAGAAACCAAGGTTTTTGGAAAAGGACCTCCATTTCCAGCTGCCTGAGCAACAAAAATACCCGCTTTTACAGCTGCGAGAAGTGTAGCATCAAATGGATTCAAAAATGTGGTCTTAGTGGTTGCTGGAGGACTGTTTGGCCCAACTGAGAGGCTGAGTATATCCACCCCATCATGAACAGCCTGCTCAGAAAAGTTCTTTGAGTTAAAAGCATTCAATTGAAATATAGATAAAAACAAATGCTTAAAAAAGGAGTGTCTACTTGGTTGACATGAAGCCATCTGTTTATATCATATTAATTGCAGAAAACACAGTATTTACAGACAATGAAGCAAGGACTCTCATTAAAGAAGTTGGTAAGGAAGATTGTTTATCACAAATGAATGAAAACCGCTATTATATTGTCTTTTCTCCAAAGATGCTTAGTTCATTAGAAAAAACTTTTGAGCTAAACATAAAGTTTAATTAAATACTAGACAATTGCTTAGTTGTCAACAAGAAGAAGCAGAAATATAAGCTTATATTATCTTTTCCCTCCAAACAAAAAACACAATAGGAAAATGGTCTTTGAATTTGTGAAAGGAAGGTACTCAGCCTAATACTTCATGAATCCTTGAAGAAGGAATAACATCAAAATACAATTCTAGAAGCCTCTCCCAATTTCTTAGATGCTGTCAACAACTACGAACTTACCTGATCAATTGCAGCTACCACATCTGCAACAAAACCCCCAAAAAGCCTGTACAGAGCCTTGTACACCGCAATCCTGAAAGAAATTCTCTCAGTTTTCATGTATCCAATAAATTAATATGAATATTTCCAGTTCGATTAACTATGGAAATGTTTATTAATACCCACCTGGCACGGGGAGCCATTCCACTTGCTTTCCCAAATTCATAGCCATGCATTCTCACAGGAATACCATTATTTCCAGCTGCAATAGCTGCTGTGTGACTGGTATCCAAGAATTTAATTAAAAGAAAAAAGAAAAAGATATCAGATACTTCTAGGAGAAAATAAGATGAGGACAAGGCATTCAGTATGTCGTATTCTTTGATTTAAAGCCTATTATTATACAGATACATTGAGAAGCATTCTTCAGGATTAGAGTAACAGAAGTAGCACGGTACCTTCTACCTCTCATTTATTACGTCAAGTGCATCTTAGGCACATTCCAATCCACTTAAACCTTCAAATCAACTAGTTGCTTGATATGATTTTAATGACTCAAAATGGTCCTCTTATAAAAAATAAGAATGTGATACAATTACCATTATATTACAATCACAAATATTAATCTGTCATGTCAGTATGAATTGAAATTGTGATTGGGTATGAACACATAATTTCAAGACATTCTTCCATCGCAATGAACAATAATATCACTGCTGGGAACTTGAATAAAAGATCTATAAATTGCAAAAAGACACTAATCAAATAAAGAAACTTATGAGCTGAAAAATCTTATTGTCATGGACTCTCTCTAAGAAAGATTAGACTGACGAATGACGGGCCAGCACCGTCATAATGTTAATATTAGTAGATTTTTTCCAATCCATCAATTCTTTTGAAGCGAAATACTATTAAGTTTTATTTCAAGGATTACTAACTTCTTGACATCCAGCGGACAGTAGAAAAGGTAAAAAGCATATGTAACATTTTACTGTCAGAAAATATCATATAAAAGTTTTCTATATTGCAAGATCTCTGAATGCAAGTTCAATAAATTCTTCTAGATTGCACACATTTGTAACAAAAATTATCAAGATAAATATCTTAAATCTGCCAATATTGCATTAGAATAATAGTTCTAGGAAACTCAATGTGATTTATGATCATGATTAACTTATTCGGTATTATTAGGTAAAACTAAAATATTTGGTTCAGAATGCCTGCCCATGAATGCACGCTCAGTATTTGGATTCTCAACCATTATCTATATTTTTGTCTGCCAACAACTGAAAAGAAAGGAAGTTATTTATGCATCTCCAAGATTATAATCTCTCTTGTTAAGGTGGAATAACATAAATTAAACATTAATGAAAAAAATGACAGCATAAACTTTGAGTTGAAAGTGATCAATATCCAAGCAAACCTTCCGTGTCCATCACCATCCAGGGGTGAAGCAAAATCAATAGAAGGATTGAATGCGCCGGCTGCTTTTGCAGCTTCAGCAAAATGTTGGGCTCCAATTATCTTTCCATTACAGAAGCTCCTCTTACTATCAGGATCAACTTCACATTTTCCTCTGTATCTTGGAACAGGCCCATATGGTTCAGTATTATGAGTTGCAAAGCTTGGATGATGTGGATAAATGCCTGAGTCCACAAAGCCAATTACAATGTTCTCTCCTGCCCTGTCAAAACCACCACCTGTTGGCCATACACCAGTTGGAAGCCCCAAAAACTGTGGGGTATGTGTTGTGAGCCTCCTCACCTTCCAGTCTCTCTCCACAGATTTCACACCTGGACCACGTCTTAGGGTTTCTGCCTAGTAGTATTTTGGAATAATGTAAAGAAATGAGAATGAAAGAGGGCTAACTGTCAAAACCGATCAAACTTTCGAAAAAGAAATCAATAAAGAGTGAATTCAAAAGATTCACCTGTTCAGGGGACATATGAACTGCAAAGCCATTTACTAGATGTTTATAGCTGTAGAGTTTCTTGTAAGTTCCGCGCTCTAAGAGCATGCCAAGAAGCATGTCATGTCTGTTCTCAAGGTGACGAGCATAGGATGTGACCAGTTCACTGAAAGAAGGAATAATGATATATCAATTTTTTAAAGAGTCAAGGTGATCAGAGAGAGAGTTATGAATGTGAGCCAGAATATTACATACAGGACACCACCACAGCAAATACCTTACCGCTATAAATATATAGTGCCATTGGCACTATGCCTGAAACTTCTTCTAGGGACTACTTAAAATATAATTGAAAAATCCTAAAATGAGATTTCTATCCCAAAATATGATCATGACGTTACGTAGCATTATTTCTTAACATGTTATATGCTGCACAAATAATTAGGAAGTTACAGTATATTTCTCTCGAAAAAAGTATATATTCAATTGGATGAACAAGTGTCTAATGGTCGAGCAGTACAGTATTCTATGGATTTCTAACCAACTGATGATTAAGACAACATGAATCATAGTGAGAAAGCAAAATAAACACAGGAGAATAACACAAAAATTTAACCTCTGGTGTTAGTTCATGTCAATCTAGGCATGTCCTGGGCTTTGTAGAGGGTTTTCAGAGAAGCAATAAACAAATGGCTTATGTCAATCCAGGCATGTCTTGGCTTTTTTTCTTGGTCAAACTAGCTTAAAGCTGGTTTTGACCAAAAAAAATAAGGCAAAGTTTCAACGAATAAGGCATAGTGAGAGGCAAGCATTGAGCTGACAGTAAATAGTAATTTTAAAGACTGAAATCGATGTGTATTTCAATAAGAAAACAGAAATTCCCAGGAAAAACTTGTTGTATTTCAAGAATACCTTGTTGTATCAATCTTCTCATCAGATTCCACAGCAGTAGCTTCAAAACCATTCTCACCGCCTTTGTAACTTATAATTGGCTCTCCTTCCATTGTAACTATGTAAACCTCAGCTCTCCCAATGATAAAGAGAGCCAACAAAATTAGAGTTGTACACCCAAGCTCCAACACCCTCATTTTCTCCAATCAGGTGTCAATTCAGCAGGCAGAGACTATCTGTTGCATCATAATGATAATCAGTAAATACAATCAACTAAAAAAGTGACGACATGGCAAAACCAGAAAGAAGATAACAAAAAATTATCTAAATATTACTCTTCAACAGAAAATAGTACATTAAACTTATACTATTGTTTTAACCAAAAAAATGATTATTTTATTTAAATTTTACTTTAGGTAGAGGTTCCTGGAAACGGAGAGACATAATTGATAATTATGTTAGAATCTGCCCCGCAAAATCCTCTCTACTCAGCTAAATCATATAACTAGGAGAAGTTGTTAAGAAGTATCTTAAGGTGCATAGTCATTCTCCCGCAGAGTTTAAACTTTGAAAAAGAAAATAAAATGGAAAACTAAATATTAGTAAGAATGTCGACTATTTCCCCCAATCTTTACGCGTACCAAACAGAATAAAGGGAAACTCCAATAGGCCGCCGCCCGCTAGAAGAACTCTACATGCCTCCTTCAAAGAATAAGAGCAAAAAAAGAAAAATCACGACTCGACAAAAGAAAGAAAAACTAAATTCAGCTTCTGAACATGATTGCTACCTCTAAATACAATACACATAACTATCTATCAAGAACACCAAACATGTATAAGCCACAGCCATGAACATCAAAGTTATTACTAATGAAACTTATGCAGTTAACAAACACCGATTGATAGAGACAGCCAAAAGAGGAAAAAATAAATCAAGAAGATTTACCGCAGAGTGAGTGAGAGAGAGAGATAGAGAGAGAGAGAGAGACAGAGACAGACAGAGAGAGAGAGAGAGAGGAGCAGCAAAAGCCGGATCCCAATCCTTTGCAGCTCCTATTTTTTCACATTCAGATCAAGGAAACCACGTGAATCTGCATAACATCAACCGTTTTCTTTTAAAGGAGACCATCACTTTTCCTTAAACAATCAGCGTTCAAGCAAAGAATAATGATGGCAAAAAAATAAAATTAAAAAAAAAACGTATTCTCCAATCTCCATTCACATTTCAGCAACTAAAGAAGATCCTATCGCCATTAAAATAAACAAAAAGCTAACAGTACCTTCACTTACACTGGTCCACGAAACGTATCGAATCAAAAGAAGCTTTAGCGACACGATCAAACTAAACGGAGCAAAAGCATAATCATCATCCGATAAAATAATTACATTTTAATATGGTAATCAGAACTGATTAGCAGAAAGTTGCAGAGAGAAATAGGAGGAGAAATTGTTGATTTTATGAGAGATCTAGCGAACACATCCAGCTTACGAGAGAGAGAGAGAGTGAGTGAGAGATGGAAAGGACAGTGAGCTATTACTGCATTTTAGTGAGACTGGAGAGACAGAAGAGTGGTAGTTAGGGCTTTTTATTATTTTTTTAAGTGAACATAAATTAATCTGTGCTACAGTACGGACAGTGTGCCGATGATGATGGGAAGTAATTGAGAAATTTAATTACTTAATTTTTTATTTTCGTTTAATATTAAATTTATTACCTTTTTTATTAAAAATTAAATTTATTACTTGCTTTCAAAGATTCATTTTCTGATTTTCAAAGAAAAATTATTTTTATTTTCTATTTTTTATTTTCTTTTTGAGCTGAGACGCAAAGAGAAGGGAACATTCGCGCGCAAGCTGTCGGGGATTCCCGTTAAATTACGAGATTACCCTTGGAGGTCCTTTTTTTCACTTCTCTATGCCATATTCGTACCAAAATTTGTATTTAACTACAAAAATTATAAATTTTTAAAAATTAAATAAAACCAGAACTCAGTTTTAAATTATTAAAAAGTAATCATAAATTACGTATTGAAAAATAATCCCTTTACAATATTTAATTTTCATGCACTTTAAAAAAAAAGTTACATATATATGTGCATACGTACGAACTTACGTTGGTCAATTATTTGAGCACTAAAAAATGGTTAAAAGCAGTAGATAGGTGCAACGTGGATATATTACATATATAATTCATTAATACATGCTTATAATTATTCAAGAAAAAAATTCAAAATTATTAATTAATGAAAGTGGATTTGAGTATTTTACTTATTTTATTATTATCAACTAAATAATAATGCATACTTCAATGTATCTATCTCGTGACCTAATCCTAGTACGGTGTTGGGCTACTTGGATTTTCTCTACCAGGCATTAGATTTGAGCACATTATAATAATAATAATACTATCAAAATACTAAATATAATATATATATATATATTCTAATTATTATTTATTTTTATGAATAATATGGTAATTTAATAATTAAAATTATTATATTTTATTTAAAATTACAAATTTGAATATTATTAAGTACGTATAATTTAACACTTTATTTATATATTATGAATTATTAGTGATCAGAACATAATACTTGATTCAATTTAAATAATATCTTAATTCATTATTGTGTTAATAGAATTGTAGTAATTAAATTGAGTTAATTATTGGTAAGTTTATTATGTTTTTTATTAAAATAATTATTTTATAATGATTAATCAATAGTGTGCATAAATGTCACTTTTATTGTTTAGATTGAATATATATTAAATCACTTAATATCTAATTTGTGTTATTTTTATTAGTTTGATACAGGTATAAAGATAAAATTCAAAATCAGAAAAACATAATAGCAAAACAAATTTCAGTAGCAAGTACGTGACTAAGCTTTGAGCAAGGTTTATACCCATAAACAACAGCTGACATCAGATTGTGCACAGACAAGCCTTGGGTAAGGTTTACACCCTAAGCGCATGATCAGATATAGATTTTTCAGAATTTGTCAAAATGAAATAAAAAAAGAGAAAACATAGAAGAAAAATAAAAATGAGTATTTTAAATATGGAAGGAGACCAAGATCAAAGGAAGAAAAAAAAAAAAAAACCTAGCTGCCCATAACTTGACTTGTTAAATAGAAGAAGAAAAAAAGATTGAAGGCGGAAAGTAAAATGTAGTAGCAGATTTCATCTTCCCCAATTATCTTTTATGTAATTTATTCGATCGATTTTAATTAAACATTATAGTGTATCATGCTCAATATGAGCAGCTAAACTCTCTCTTTCAGTCAAATATTTAATTGAAATTTTAATACAAGGATTATAAGATATAATTACTTTATTTTTATTCGTTCATAATTTCAATATTTATATATTATTTTTTGTGCGTAAGGATATTACTGTTTGTTATCCGTTGCAATATGGCTCATTATGCGTTTAGCATAATAGCATATCATCATTCGAGATCCCTGAATTCGTAATTGTTTAAGATATCCTGATAATTAGTGATAAATTAGTGTTCACACTAAAAAAATATATTAACATGCATTATATTATTTTTGAACATACATTTAATCTATTTTGTAATAATCACGCTTTTTGTAAAGAAAAATTATATTCTATATTTGACTTACGATATTAAATTTATTTTATAATATTTAAGTCTATTTATACTTTTAAAATATATTTTAAAAATTACAATTTGACAATTAAAATAGTTGAAAATAATTAATAATTTAGGATTATAAAATAATAAATACTTTTTATTATACATAATAAAATGTTAGATAAATTACAATAATATCTAAATAGCTACTATAATTTGTTAATTCAAAGTTATTTTCTCACAAAAAATATGATGCAAATTTCACACACATACACATGTGCGTCCATATAAAAACTTTTCAAACAATTAGTTAAACAAGATATGATTAATGATTATGGAGCACTAATGAGTTGCTAAATATAAATGACATATAAGAATTAACCATATTTTATGCTTTAATAAAATGTTAATAATAAGATAATTAAATAAATAAATGGGTTATGTATAATAATGTTATTGGTGTTCTCGTGTGGAATATATATCAAGAATTCAAATCTTATTCAGAAGAAAAGATAGTTTATATATAAATATAATTAATTTTAGTATCATATTTTTTAATTAAAAAATTAAATGAAAAAAATAAAACATAACTCAATAAATTCGATAAATAACATATCTAACATGTTCACCTAATTGTGCACAAAATATTTATGTTTGCTAAAAATGTTGATGACGTGGAATATATATAATTTAATATAAAGTTACGGAGGCATGTTATTATATACAACATACAGATTTTCTCAATTTCTTCTTCTTTTTATTTCAATACCAACTTTTCTTTTCTTTTTTCTTTGAGGTTTCGCATGGAAAACTGCTTCTCATCTATCCATATCTCCAAGGATAATGAAAAAGACATTAAACTGTATGACGATAAATTAATTAATTAATTAATTAATCTTCATTAAAATATATACGATCGTAAATTGTTCCCATCACGTATAGGACAAACGTTTTGTTGTTCCCGTCACGTTTACAAGAACGTTAGGAAACAAAAAAATTTGTTTCCCAGTCAGCCTTATAATAAATTAAATGGTGACTTCCGATTATCTAAAATTTAATATTTTTTAAATGTATTATAAGTTAATAATTATTGATTAATAATATTTAATTTAATAAAATTTAAAATTTAAATAATTAATTAAATTAAAAAATTATGACATATTCGTATAAATATTTTGTAACTATAATATTATATTAGTTGAAATAAATATAATGGTTTGGAAAACTCAATATAATATTTCTACATAAGAAAAGACTGTTTGTGTGATAGTTTGAAAATACACTCGAGTTAATTTTTTATATTTGATATATTAGTTTAGTTTTTATATGTGTTTTAAAATATAAAATAAGATTAAAAATATAATTTCAAGTCAAACGAAAAAATAATAGATAAATAAGAAAGAGCTAGAATAAGCATGAAGAGATATAAAAAAAAATGAAAACCTTTCAAATAAAGTGGTATAATAAAAAAGTGATAACTTGTAGATAAAATGATATAACGGAAAGTGATAACTTTTAAATTAAGTGACATGTGAAAAGTTATAACTTTTAAATAAAGTGATATCATATAAAATTATAACTCTTAGATGAAGTGTTATGTAAAAAGTGATAACCTTTTAGATGAAATGACATGTGAAAAGTGAAAACCTTTTAAATAAAACGGCATGTGATAAATGATAACCTTTAGATGAAGTGACATAATGAAATGTAACAACTTTTGGATAAAGTGGCATGATGGAATGGTGACAACTTTTCTCTCATGGCTCCTGACTCCTAGAAATACAGGATGGGAGAAGGGAAGAAGAGACATTCCTAATGAGAAAAAAATAGTGAGAAGCATAAAGGATGAATGAAGAAGACGGAGTACAACGTGTATGATTTTTTAGAATATTTTGATGTTTAAGATAAAAAAACTTGGAGAAACTCTATTAAATTTGTGAGAGCAAAGGAAGAAGAAGATAAGAGGAAGAAGACTCACGATCAAAAGAAGATTATAAAATGTTAGAAAGGTAAGTCCTTTCCTAAGTTTTGAAGTTTGATTTTTCTTTAATATTTTAGATTAATTTTTGAGTATTATATTAGATATTTTGAGTCAAAAAAGTGATAAAAAAATCATCTCGAAACTTTGCTAAATTTATGAGAGGAAAAAGTCATAAATAAAGCCAGAACTCTACCGTAATGAAGATTACGGCTGCTAAGAACCTAATGTAAGTGGATATTATGTGTTTATAACCTACATAGTTTTGAAGTATTTTACGTATTTTCAGTATAAAAATTTGTAACTGTTTAATTTGTCTTTCGTATTTGTTGAGTAAGTATTTGTTAAAATTTTACTTTGATATAAGTGTTATTTCACTCTATATTTTTAAAATGTGATTTTGATATGTGTGCATCATTCATCATAGAAATGAGTTATTTAGGAAGCACCTATATTATGCTAACATTCGATATGGTTCCATGTTTGGGTATATTGGTGAAGTGATAAGTGTGTATTTATATATAACCGTTCCGTATTCGGGTATATAAAAAAACAGTCTGATCTGCATGCCTTAATCATTCCGTATTCGGAGGGTAGCAGTGTTTCAATATATGTGCGTACACATAATGAGATAAATATACGTGTTTCAAGGCACTCATGTATTTCATTTTATTTTCGGGTATATGAAAAACCAGTGATAAATATATGTGCATACGCATAATGTATGATAACTAATTGATCTTTCAAAATAGTGATGAAGTATTCAACAAAGTAATTGTGAATCTATTTTCTGATTTTTGTATTCATTTTCTAATTCGTATATCTATTTTAAAAATATTATACGATATATATTCTATTGTGTGTAAAAAAAATTATATATTGCATGTACTATATTGTGATTTCATAATACAATTTATTGAGATATTTTATCTCACCCCCTATCACCTTTTAGATACTAAAAATATCGCTGCAGAGTGAGCGGTGATACGA